TTACCATGTGGATGTGTGGACCCTCTTCACACACCCATTTCTATACCTTCTGGCTGTGTTATCTCCTGATGATTTTCAGCTTCCACAGGCCTTCATTCTTCCATCATTTCACCATTGGTGTGTATAATATGCACTATATCCCTTTTCAGGAACCCACTTTCATTCAATAAGATCCCACTTGGTGGCTAGTGTTGCTTCTTAGAGTATTCTTACTTGTGAGAATAATCACTTAGTTGAATGTAACCTATTAATGAACCTGGTGATTAATCAGTTAGCAAATTCCATTAATTGCCTAGCTCTAAGTAGAACACCAGTGAGAACATGAACTGACTTTTTTAGATACAGTGATACAAAGTAACAATGGCAACTATGAATTTAAGGTGTATCAAAGAAAAAGAAATTTGCTGGTTTATCTTTTAACTTTAAAGCTTATGATTGATCCATTGTGCTTATAAAACCATTACCACATGTATATATTTATAAGGACTTTGGAAACATCAAAATGTTTTTTAACAAAATTGGCTTTCCAAATAATACTGTTGATAACATTATATATGTGGGTAAATTCAGTACTTCTAAACATTTACGTTGGAATGTAAGCAGTTTTTGTCAGTAATATTATATTGTCATGTACTGGAAAAACTCAATTGTATAATGTTCTTAAACATGCTTTCCATGTTTTTGTTGAAGAGTAAATTTAAACAACTTTGATGTTCATAGATAAAATATCTATAAGTAAAATATAGGGCAGAAACTGTGTTTAACAATGCACAACAAAAACTTTATTTACTGATGGCCAATGATATAAATGCTATGAAGCTTTTATTGTGTATTTTCAGATGTTGCTGGTTTTGTCTTGATTGAGTTTTCATAACACGTCTTTGTTGAAAATGTCTTAGGTAGTATAAGAAGTTAGATGTCTTAATTATCAACCATTAGGTATCTACAAATACATAAAGTTGTTCTTTTTCTTAAGTGCAAAGCTACACAATGTACCATCTACATGCTGTCCACCACAGGGAATTGACCCCCACATTTTAAGATTATGATTTCTTAAGCCTGCCAATGACTAACAGGAGGACAACACACAAAAAAGAACATGCACATTTGTTGATCAGTAAAATATTCATATATAATCACATACTCCGTTAACATGAGTCATTAATATATCATGCTTCATTTTAGACTCGTCTGAGAGGAAGTTATGAGAAAATTTTGTGAATACAACAGACTTCAATTAACAAATTAATGCCAAAAATCATATAAAAAATTCTGCAGTTAATCCGTTCTTAAGAATATAATAGCAAACTGTCTGTATATGCCACACTTCTAAATAAATGTTCATGCTAATCAATAAATGAAATTACTGTTGTTATAGAACATTACCAGTAATTTTTGATCAAAAGTAAATTGCTATATTTTTTGGAATATAAGATGCACCGGTGTATAAGACACACCCTTATTTTGAAGACAAAGTTTTGGAGGGGAAAAAAGCTACAGTGTATAGGATGCAAGCAGATTTTGACATCAAATTTTGTCTTATACACCGAAAAATACGGTAACTATATAGATAAGAAACTTAAAAATTATAGAAGCAAATATTGTATAACAAATTACTGACAAGAAATAAATGTTTGGCTTCTTTTCACATCTGTTACTTTTACCATGATCACACTTTACCAGATACCTTTTGGTACTTTTATCAAAACAGTAACCACTAATGACATCATAGATTTAGTAAGACAGTTCAAGTGTAGCACTGAAAAGGGTCTATTAATACCAAAACAGTAACCAATAATGACACCATATACTTAGTAAGGCAGTTCATGTCTAACACAGAAAAGGACTTATTGATACCAAAACAGTAACAACTAATGATACCATAGATTTAGTAAGCTAGTTCATGTCTAACACAGAAAAGGACTTGGTAATAAGTAGACTTTAATTTACAAGTAGTACTTGAACTATCTAGCTGTGTGTTTCTCATTACTCTCGACTTAAGCTGTTACATCACCCAAGAGGTATCTTTGGGATTGTTTAATTTTCTAATATTGATGAGATTCAACATTATTTTCTATAATATCCTTTTCTATTTATTCATACAGGATATTTATGTCAAAAAATTAGTTTTTTCTTTTTTTTGGGTGCGGGGGGGCAGCTTTTTACTGATACCTTGCTTGTTAGTAAGGAACGGTTGTTCAGATCCTGATCGTTTTTGTAAGATGTGCCAGCTGTATAATGCTGTGTTGCCCAAATAAGCCATCATTGATGGTAATGCAAACATTTATTTTGCTATATCCAGTATCTGCAATATAGGAGCTATTTGCTTATTTTCTTAGATGGCTTAATCTCTCTATAACATTAGTTTTTATGATTAAATTGAGAAAGATAATTGACTAAAGTTTTTATACTTTCCCTTATCAGATAAAACACGTCTTTTTTTTTTGCATTATCTTTGTCTTTCTTGAAGAGTGGATTTGACTATTTCTAGTCACCCAAAGTACCATTCTTTATTCTTAGAAGATGAGCCACTTGTTTTTACTGTTCTGCATTTCTTTTTTCAGATTGAGATGTTTAACCTAGGATGGTAATAACTTTGTAGGGAAACATTGTGCAGTGTATTACTTTCCTTGAGGTCTGGGTAGTTTCATAGTAATTTTCAGTATACTTATAATATATAACATCCCAAGTAGGCTCAGAATTACTGTCTGCACTCAATTGCATGTGATCAAAATTGGCTTTCCAAAATAACATTGTTGATAATGTCATATATGATTATTCAGTTAAAGTAAATAATTTTGTATAAACCCCCTTTTTTCCAAATATGAAGTAATAATCCTATTAATTTATTTTATGTATCGTTTATTAACAGAATTAATTGTTTGTTTTTTTCCTTCTTATGTGGTAATATGTTGCCACATATATAAATTTAATTAAAAATTAATATCTAAACCTTTTTAAGTGCACTGGTTTTCCAGATAGAATGTATTGCCTGCCTAAAAAGTGAAGAAGTCATGCTGGACAATTATTTTAACATTTTACAGGTGAATATTTGTTTCTTTTCTATCACAATATGGAGGAAAGAAAAACCATATCCAGTTGTATATGCTGTATCACAAATCCAAACTTGGTGTGTTCCCAAGGCATCTTTTAATGTAGAATATGGGTAGTAATCTGCATCTCTGGTTATTTTTCTAAATTTTTGGATAGTTGTGTGTGTTCAGTCTTTAAACATTCTGATGTATTGTGGTGGGGCTCACAATGGGATGTATATTGCTATGATAAATTAACCACAGCAGGTCATAATCTATGATAAATTACTCTTCATGAATTCTGGATGTTTCTGTTTATCTGGCTTTGCAGTATTCTTGCCTTTTGCTACATAGTTATGTGCAATGTAACATTTAGCCATTCTGTGAGGTCTATATTTCAAGGCCACAACTTATTCTTCTCCAGGAGTGTCAGACACCTATCTGCTTCCTTCATTGCTACTTTCTTTTCAATGCAGAGTTTCTTGTTTAATCTTATAGTAGATGTAAGGTAATGTATTTGAAACTTGTGTGCTAGTAACAACATGTAATGCAAAGAAATTCTTATCTTATTTGCTTCCCCACATTAGAGGATTATGGGGAAAAAAAATGTGACCATGTGAGATAACAAAAGTGACATGGAGATCCAAGGTAGATGTACTACAATGTGAATGTTGTTGATTGATGCAGGGATTCTAAAAATGGATGGTATTTATCCATTTTACCTGTTTTGTAGTATTCTTAACTCAGGATAAGATTTTATGTGATCACAAGCTAAAATAGCAAAAGAGGTAGGGATAAACGTTCTAAATTTCTTGACTATACCAAGAGAAATAGCTTAATTTTATATTACAGGAAACTCTTTGAATTATGTTTTTCTATTATTATATTAACTTAAAATTTCTTAAGTTTAGAATTATCACAACGAGGACATTTGTAATTTTTTTTAGAAAGAATTAGTTGTGGTTTTGAAAGCTAAATTTTGTGTGTTTTCAGTTTGTTTTGATTAGAATATTTTAAACTTTCAGTTTGATTTTGCACATTTTCATTTTATAGCTGCTGTTACTATTATCTTGTAGTGCTTTGTTTTTGAATTGTTGTAATCACTCTCATGCTCCTGATTTTGTTGTATAGAGCATTTTTAGTCTATCATGTATTTCATAAATAATTAATTGTTTTTGAACCCAACCCATTTGCTATATTGGGCATTATTGTACAAGTTGTGTATAAGAAAAAAATAATTCATTAGCTGAAGTTACTACAAAAGTAATATTCATTGTTTTTTAAAAACTAGGTATCAAATTTATATATGTATTCCTCCTTTGCTCTTTAGTTCATAAGTAATTACCACCATTAAAATGAAATTCAGGCAGTATAGCTATATTAACCTATCAAGAAGGTAATACAATAGAAATGCTAAGAAATGTATATCCTGATGTTGAGTGTATTTGTAAATTTGCAATTGCATTTTTCACAGGAGTCTAAGGGTCTTGAAATGATTATAATTATTGTTTTAAAGTGTTCCTTCAACTAAAATTACAACATAAAAAGTTCTATTTGATATAATATGAATATAACCATTAGATAATTGATTTAATGACAGTTCTTTACTCAAGAATGAATAAAGATATTTTAAAGCACAAACTAAGTTTTAGCAACTCTGTAAACTGTTAAAATGAGTAAAATTTTAAGTGGAGTAATCACACTCCTGGTAATGTGCTATTAGTGCAAAATTTCATTCATTTACCTTTGAAATTTATTTTTATTTTACATAACATTTATTAATGAACATAATTCATTTTTTGCTTATTTTGTTATCACGTGATTGTATCATTTTATTAGTGTAATGGTTTTATAAGATACAAGATGACAGGCTAGATAGTTATTTTTTCATTCTGCTGATAAAGTTATAGGATATGCACATGTTATATTTTTATTTATAAAAGGGAGTTTTGTTATCTCTTGTTGCAGTACATTCCAGCATTTATGGAAACAAATTGCTGAAAATCTTGAAAGCTATCATAACTTTCCTCGTTTGGTTGGTGGTAAGTAATTTGGTTTTTCTAGTAGTAGTCTTAGAGTTTTCAATGGAAAGTCTACACTTGTCTGTTGAGTTGTAAAACCAATCTGGAAGCATGTTATGAAACCTATTAGTGTTGCTAATTTAAGACCTTATCTACAATTTTAGAGATACTTTTACATCACATAAAACCAGTTTTACATTTTGTTTTCTTAGATCAAACAGTATTATCTGTATGATATTGCAAAAACTGATTTACACACTGATTAGGCTAAGAGATGTTGAAACACATTGTAGATGTTAAATATTCATGCTAGTTATTTGTCAGAATACCTGTAAGACTAGGGATATTGTTTATGCTTTCCTATTACTTTTAGCCCAACACTCATAGTTTTAGTCATAAAAAAAACAACTTAAAGTACAAATCAGTGTTTTGTATAAGTTGCAGTTATTTTAATTATCTTTAGAAGTCCAGATATTCCAGCTGAGAATAATAAATCATGAATAAGTCTTTTGTAAGGTTTTGTTTTACCCTTAAAGAGATTTTCTATAAGTATTACTTCATTTGTTGTTTGTTTTTATTTTTTTTATCAGAGTGTGGAGGAAAGAATTACCATTTTGTTCACCCAAGTGCACACGTCCAGTCTGTTGTGAATGGCACAATAAGATCTGCTTTTGAATTTGGTGGTCAAAAATGTTCGGCATGCTCCAGGATGTTTGTACCAGAGTCATTATGGGATCAGGTAACACCTACCATTTAAATTCAATCAAAGCATTGTTTTAAAAACTTTTACAAATTAAAAATAGATTGTAGTTCTAACATATTTCCAAAAATTTGGCTAGTTTATTGTCTGTTTAAAAAACCTTTTATGTTTTTAATGATAATACATGAAGATGTTGTGCAGGCAGGTGTACTTTTATCAAACCAATTCTACACTAGCAACCACTATTTTACTATTCTTACTATTGGTTGCAACAGGCTCTGTAGAAATGAGGAGGTGTTCCATAAGACCACCTAGGAGCTCACCAGGTGGTATTACCATACTATGCTGGACCACCACTCATGGACTATCATGAATAAAGCTAAAGGGGATCCAGCCTGTCTCTGCTGAATACCAAATTGAATAAATTGAGGTCTGTTTGCTTTTTAAAATTTTGGGAACTTGGTTCATCTATTGCACTGTTTCCAGAGCACTGTTCCTCAGCACTCCCCAATACACATTACCCTCCAGATTGTACATCTGGGGTGGTGGACAAAGGCTTTTCCTTCAGAGTGTTAGAGAGAATTTCTCTACTCTCACAGAAGAGGGTGAAGTTGGGGGCCCTCCTACTTGGGTCCCTTGATGTTTTTCCCAGATGTCAGTAGGAATGGCACCAACCTTCTTGTAATACAGGTTCAGAAGTGACTCTCAGCAATTCAATTGAGGTGTGCATGTCCCTTCTTTCTGTTCTTTTGGTTAAGTAAAGCGTACACGATCCTCTCATTCTGAGCCCGTGTTGTTGCCTTTTGGACTTATTCAGGTGGAGGAAAAAGCTTGTCTGATTTGGTGTTGCTTACTTTCTTGTCATGATTCCGGTGGTTTGGAACTTATCACTCTATGACTATCCAATCAAATGTATATTTATATATAATGTTGCTTTCCACTTGCCTTAGCCACCAGTGTGAGATATAGGGACCAAGACCTCTTAATTCCAACCCTGAGTTGTGGAACCTCAGCTGTCTGGTTGAGGCTGGCCTATAGTGATGATTACTCATGTACTATTCCACACTTGATACAGGAACTAAGTTCAGGGTGAAGAGCATACCTGTTATCAGGTACCAATCTTGTCTTAGCACACCCATGATCTATGCGGATGCTTTCTGTATGGATAATGCCCTTACTAGTCCCTCCACCTTCTCTGTGGGATTCTGGTTATAAGTGTCAGCAAAGGTAAGTATGTTTTGGAAGTTAACATTTTCCTAAATTGAAACTGTATTTCCAATAATACTTACCTCCACTGACACTCTCCTCTCCTTCCTCCCCACCAAGAGCTGGTGTTGGAGACTGGGATTGAATGAGTTTCAAAAAAGTGATAACATTATCTGAATGAGGTACTTATATACAATACCAGGATAGAGGGCACATTGACAGAGGTGGAGAGTATCACAAGATAAATATTGCTGAGTGCAATTGAGTGGAGTATAAAAGACTGGAGTAAGCAAACAAAATCAGATCAATGCTTAGATGGGCAAAGGAAAAACCCGGCGGTCGAGTAATAGCTATAAGTTTGAGAAGAGGCAAGTATTAATAGAAATACATTTTCAATTTAGGAAAATGTTATCTTTTGGCACATAGGTTTTTTTTATATATATATATATATATATATATATATAT